ACAACAGAACATAGTTTGGTGTAGTCCAGCTAGGTTTCAGGTTTCAGAACACGTGGCCAATCTCTGTCTCAGCAAGCTTTGTGTGTATTCAGGCTGTGTAGACCAAAGTGGATGGCTTTGAAAGCTTTGGTACTAATTCCCAGTTGGCTCTTTCCTCAAACTTCCCCCTGGAAGTTGGGTATGTGTGGTATAAATGAATGCTGCCTTCCGTAATAAAAGCAGAATTTCATACCAGCAGTTTGTGCTGAAGGAGAATCTCTTTCTGGTTTAGGTTCTTTGACAGTTATTTGCTGGCAGCACTTCATTGACTGTGGGGAGGAGGCGGAAGGTATTCTAAAGCCTGTAGCTGATTGCGTGCATATCTTCCCAACTCTGAGTTTATCGATAGCATGTTGTTAGCTTCAAGTTGGCCATGACGATGACATTTACACCACCCAAACTGGCAAGCACTAGGGGTGTTACCCTTAGAAGCCAGTTGTTAAACGTCACACCACTGGCTTCTTCTCTTATTACTCAGTGTTTCATGGTTTGAGACTGGGCTGGAATGGCTAAAGGATACTTTATTGAAGGTTGGGAGAGAACAACAGTCAACAAAAAAATTAAATGAATGGGAGAAACTCAGGGTAAAAAACAGGAAAATTGTCTGAGTTCCTCCTCCTTTTCCTGAGAACAGCCACTTCAGGATTTCCCATCCTGGCTCCCCAGCGGTCTCCATGTATAGGGTGCCATCTCAGGAGACACTCCTTAGCAGCCCTCAGCTGAAGAGCTGTAGCCCATGACTGAGCTGTGGATATCTCTTTCCCACCTGCTGAAGGCCCGGCTTCCAGGTTCTGGACTTTTCTGGAGACTGACATTGTGACTGCCTTCTCTGTTAGTGAAGCCCTTGGTACCCACACCTTGCCCAGCAGAGACTAACAGGAGGACTTTGACAGCCCAACACCAGTCATGGCTCCAACAGGATGGAATGGGGGAAAGTCAAGGACAGTCTGTAAGTGATGCTTGTGTTTGCCTGGTGACTGAGACCAGCAAAAGGAGCTAGTTCATCTTTTCTTTCCTCCTGGTGTCACCATGTAGTGTCCTTACCAGTCCTGGGGTGGTGGCTAGAATCATGTGAACCCCTTCTGAACCAATTTCCTAACTTCCCAGAGAGAAGCAATTCAACAATTAAAGACAACATATGTTTTAAGTGCCGGTTGTGTGCAAGACACTTTAGAACATAAAAAGCAGACTTTGAGGTTTATAATCCAATAGTGGAGTTCAGGCAAGAGTCTAACACTCAAGAGTAATTCTCGGAATAAAACTTAATTGGAACTTAATTAATTAAAAGAAGTTTAAATTTCCTTACAAGCAGATGTAAGTCCTAGCATCCTAGGTATCAGTTAAATTTTTTAACTCAATTGTGGAACACTGCTCTAGGCACATTTTTGGATACAGACATAATAAAGACATGATCCCTTTCATCCAAGAGCTTAGTTTACATAAATAACAAAAGTCAAAACAGTCACAAGTAATTTAATAAAAGTAACTTTCCTATAAAGAGTACTTTGGGACTATATGGGAGGTAAGGATTAATTTTGAAAAGAACTTTTATGAAGGAAGTGGCATTTGGTTTTGATCTTGAAGAGTGAATAAGATTTTAACGGGGATATCAGGACCTTGTTGTAAAGGAGACTCAGTGCCAGGCAAGGGGGCTTGAACTTGATCTTGATGATCCTGGGGCGAAGCTAATAATTATTACTTTCTTGTTAAAAAATAGTCTGATTTGCTCTTAGAAAGTTTATTCAGCTGACAGTGTAAGGGGACGAAGAAGGAAGGCAAATTCTGAGAATAATGTAACATTACATGTGCTATGTAAAGGCCAAAACTATTAGATTTGGCAGCACACGTAGGAAAAGTGCACGGTTAGAAGTAGAACTGTTAGAGAACTTGAAGACTGAGGTTTGAACTCAGGCACAGGGAAGATAAGGTTGTCCTCAGTGGAAGCCAAAACCCAATTTCTTCCTTGCACGTGTAGTGAGCCTCTACTATGTATCAGGCTCTGTGTTCAGATGAGGCAGGTGAGTGAGAGATATTCCCTGACTTCAGCTTAGCAGCAAAGGCAGAAAGGTGAACGAGTGAGTGTCATATTAAGTGCGCTTGCAAAGTACAGCTGTGGGATGAAATAATAGGAACAATGATGACTGTCCCTTAAAATCCAACTGCTTGGTGCCAGACTCCGTTGTAACCATGTCACATCTATTAACTCATTTAACCTTCATGACAGCTCTATGAAGCAGGAACTTTTATTATCCCCATTATGTGGATGAAGAAACTGAGGTACTGAGCATGAAGTAACTTCCCCAAGATCACCCAACTAGGCAGTGGTAGAAGCAGGTTTCATACCCGAGTCCAAACTGTTAACCACAACACCTGTCAGGAGTGAGTGGAGAGAGGGATCAGCAAAGGTGGGGAGGGGTATTTCAGGAAGTGAAATTAACACGTGGAAAGGTGTAGAGAGAATTTGAGGAAGATGTTTGGAAATTAGAGCTGAGTTTTCCTTTGGCCATGATGTGGACTGCTGGTGTGATATTTAAGTGGGGGTGTCTCACTAAGGAGATGAGTATTTTTGGAGAAGCTACCAGGATTTTTCTCCTTGGCTTCTTTCCTCTCCATGTAGACAGACACCCTGGAGTGGCATCCTATATATATTCCATCTCTGTGAACTGGGAAGTAGATCTCAGTGAGGGAGATGTAGTACTGCCTTCTAGCCTTTTCCTAAGTGGTTCAATTGCTCATTAAGAATCTACTCCAATTTAATAATCAAAGTGTATTTTAAATAACAGTGGATGCTATTGAAGTATTGCCGTGACCCACTTGCCCACAACTTACAATTTGGTGGGTGTGCAGCCCAACTGTGACAGCACCCAAGTAGCTCCTGCTAAACTTAAAAGAGATGGGTTAGCCAAGGAAAAGTAATTTATCTTTGCAGCTTCACAGCAGGAGCTGAACTGCTCAAAGTGAGTGTGAGGGTGAGTGTGTGTGCATGGGTGAGTGCGTGTGGGATGGTGCGAGTGTATGTTCTCTTGAGAGGAAGGAGTCAGTGTGGATGGGTGTGGCTGATCTCCTAGATGAGGGAGCAGTGAAGGTCTCCCTAGATTCTCTGAAACTTAGGTTAACAAGGAAAAACTTTTGTGATCCTTGGCTTAGAAGAGTTGTCTTAGCTGCCCCTCCCATAAAATGTTTTCATTCTGACCTTAATACAGGGGTGAGAAAAGACCATTTCAGCAGTGATGGTCACATGTCACCTTCTCCCTGAAGACAAAGTAAAGTGGAACTCTCCTGTCCCCAGCATAGGCCATTTCAGTGTCTTCCGTGTAGGGAGTTCTGAAAGAACACCAGCCATGGCTGTAGTTTGTGGAGTAATTATTTCATAATAAGGGAGAAACGCTTTTGAGACAACCAAAAAAAAGAAAAAAAATTGATATAGTCCCTATGGTTCTGTGTTGAGTGGTTCCATTGAATTAAATATAGAGATGGGGGGAGCATTGTGCGATGTATGTTGGCTGAAATACTAAACACTCCAATATAACATCAATATATAATTTGTATGGTGACAAATATTATTGACATAAATAATTCATGCTGTTGTTTTGTATTCATTTGATTAACAGCGTCTTTGTCATTTTATCAGTCGCGATGCCATTGCAATCTTGTGCATTGTGTTTAAAGAATACTTGGAGAAATGTTTCAACTGTGTGTCTGGATGGTATAATGTATTTATTCATTTAGTCAGATGAAATGAAATAGAGAGTGTTTAATATGCATGTCTGCATTATACTAGATACTCTCTAAATTACAGACAGTATTATTCCCTTTCATTATAAGAAAAATTATAGTTTGATTTTTATTCAAGTAGCCAAAGTGCTGCCATTTTGTACTTTTAATTACAATTTTGTCAGCCTTTTCAAATGAGCTTTGAATAAGCCTGAACAATTTTGTATTGAGTTGTCAATAGGAAAACTTTGGTAACTTGAGTGAGCTGTACCAAATGAGAGTTAAATTACTCTGAGAAAGAGTGTAAAATAGGTTTACTGCTCATGGGATGAATATACTTCTAGAAAGTGTAAATTGCTGTGATGGAGCCATGCCTTGTATCAGCGTCACTCCATGTAGCAGCCATTGTTTTGTCTACAGAAGCACTTCTGAGAGCTGCCAACCATAACTTCACTGGTGTGGCCCATGTTGTGCCTCTTCCAGTGCTACCTCCTGCAGTCCGGATCTTTGGCCTGCCTGTGCCTTTCCTTGCGGCATGCCTACCAGGTCTTCCTGTTGCAAGTATCTTCCCCTCTCACCTTCTCCCAAAAGAAAACTCTACTTCCTTCCCACAGCAGGTCTCTGCTTGAGGTTAGGTCTCACGAGGTGATTGAAGTAATTTATGCTCGGGTTTGGATGACTGGTGTCACAGACAACCAGAGCTGGCCAGAAGTTAAAGCAGTAAAACAGATTTTATTCAGGGCTATTGCAATGGGAGAAAAGAAATCTCCCTATAAAACTTGGCCATGCTGAGCACGGAGTGGACAAGTGGGGATTTATAGCCAAGGAACAGGGTGGGGGGAAGTGAATGGAGAATTACTAAGAGGGTAGGGTAATTCTTGCCAATTGGCCTATCAGGATTCCTGCTGAAGTCAGGCTGGGGTGATCCCATAGGCTAGATATTACCTGGGGGACTGTGGGGGATGAGGAAAGTGATCAGATATTGAAGGTGGAGGATTCTGGCTAAGCTAACTTGACAGAACTCTTGCTAAAATCGGGTGATACAAAGACAAACACAGAAGTCCAAATGTCAAGGCCTAGTTGGGAAGAAGATTCAGAGGAGCATGAATAAAGTTTGGTCAAGGAGAAACTCTTTATCACTGCTAAGTATAATATTTTAAGGGTAGGGTGGTGTATTTTAAATGAGGAGCAAATCAACTCCAAATCAGGCTTGAGTTTGAGACAGTCTTCTGGGAGGACTTTTCAGCATGTGGTCCCAGTGTAATGCAGTGGAAGAGCTGTGCTGGATTTCTTCTGATGAAGAAGGAAAGAGGAAGGAGCTGAGGATTCGGGGTCATCATCAGGGTTTGGAATTGGCAGGGAGTGGATGTGAGGTTAGTGTCTTTCTTGCATGCTATTGAATCCTTAGTCCCCAGTACAGATCCTGGCATCAGTAAACTTGTTAAATGAATGAATGAGTTTTACAGATGAGGAAACTGACACATGGGGAGGTTGGTTCCCTTTCACACAGCAGGAAGGTAAAAACTTACCTGTATTTTTCCTGTCTTATGTAAAAGTTGTGGTCACTAGATAGGTGCCAGTACTTTCCTCATGGATGGCATTTTAATTTATTCATATGATAAAATATTGGTAGGTCAATTGCCACATAAGTAATTTATTCTCTGGAATCAGAAAGATGAGGACAAAGTGTTTTATTGTCCCACTAGCACACTGTGCAGCACAGTGAGTTTCCTTTTGAGGAAGAATTTTTGAACTCACGTTATCTTCCATAACTGGAACATTCAGATTGGGAACCTGGAGAGAGGGATAAATTAGACCTGGGAGTATCCAAGTTCTGATTTCACGCTCCTCTAAGCCTTGCCATGCCGCTTTTCTAAATTAAGTGTACTCTCTTTACTGGATCGTATTTCATTTTGGAAGAGGTTGGCTCCTCACTTTCTCTCAGAACCTGCTGAGCCAGGAATTCTTTGGGACTGTATTGAACAAAGACGGGGGAAGAGAGCAGCCCCCGCACCAGTAGCCCTGGCTAGGTTTCTAAATACCTTTTGGCCCCTCTTAGTGAGACGTCAATAGTATATATACCAGTTCTTACACCGTGACTCATCTCTGCCACTCTGGGCACATACTACTAATAGCATTAAAATGGTTTGATCAAAAACTCTCTTTTAATTTACACCCCAAATAATAATTTAACTAAATCTTAAAAAAAAAAAAAAATCTAACTGCATCCCAAGAAACAACATGGATTCATCCATGCCAGTTTCTTATCACTAGAAAAAAAAAATCTAGTAAAGCTAAAAATGCCATTTGCCTTAAACTAAATCTTAAAAAAAAAAAAAATCTAACTGCATCCCAAGAAACAACATGGATTCATCTATGCCAGTTTCTTATCACTAGAAAAAAAAAATCTAGTAAAGCTAAAAATGCCATTTGCCTTATCTAGGCTTCTCTTGTAAGACATTTTACATGGCAATCTGAGAGTGAAATGTTTTTGGATTTTACACTGGCCAGGCTGTTCTGAACAGATTCTGAGTGAGAATAGTCAAATATGATAATCATCTGCTTTGGAGAACAGAAGGAAGCCAATTTAACTTAAGCTGGACTGATTTTTCAACTTGGAAGGCATAGGCTTCTGGTTTCTCAAGAAAGGCCAGAGGAAGGAAGTGTTTTCAAGGCACTCTATTATTTTTTTCAGGTTGTTTTTCCAAATTTCTGTTTGGTTCCCTTTGTGTAAAATGTACTCGTTCCCTCTAAGGCCCAGGTTTTCCCACGTAAGCATCCAGATTTCATGGCTCAGTTCAATTAGATATTTGGCAAATCTCACAGAAGCACGGTGGAGCAGGACCGCATCTAAATCGTAATGAGGACTGAGAACCCTAAATAGGCATTTCCAATAAAGAGGAGCCCAGCCCTGCTCTGTGTGCTCAGGTGACAGAGCCTGGGAACAACCTGCATGAGACTCAGTCCTCCCTACTCTGGGAGAAGATGGACAGGAGACCAAGAGGGGAGGTGCCTCCAGGAGCCTTTTTTTTTTAAATGCTCCCAAGTATTATACCATAATGTTTAAAATATTCAAAAATATTTAGAATGCTTTATCTCCTGAGCAGTTACCCCCTGGGAAGAGTAGTGAAATGACAGTTCAATTCCTGGAAACTTTAGAAGCTTACGTTATTTTTATATTTCGTTTTTCTAAAATTCATGCCCATGGTCTTTCAACTCTGGAGTGGGAAGCCACCCTTCCTTTTCTGCTCTTTCCTTCCCCGTTCCTTGCCCCTTTCTCCTATCCTCCCTCCATCCTTTCTTCTTCCTTTTTCTTTCTTCTCTTCTTCCCTTCGTCCCTCTCTTTCTCTGTCAACCCCAGCAGCTCTCTGGGCCCCACGTGCATGTGCACTGCCTGTTTCTAGACTGCATTTGGAGGCATGCTGAGCCCGGAGCTGCCACAACAGGCTGGCTTCCTCTGGGGGCCACAGGGGCGGGCTGCAGAGTAACTGAGCAGGCAACTGGAGATTATTGCCCTTCTCAAAACTTGACAAAGGAAAAAAAAAATAGTGCTTTTAAAATTCTAGTGACTCAGGCCAATCTTCCTTAGGATTCAACAACTGTTTAGTCTCTTTTTAAGGTTCTGCTTTCCTCCTGTGTCCCAGGTAACCTTGATTAAATTAATATTGGCTTATCACGTCATTGGTAGGTTTCACAAAAATGAATCACGTTATGAAGATGGTTCTAATTACCATTTTCTTGCAACCTTTAACCATTCTTGTGTATGCATTTCTTGGGCGCATCTGTTTGAATTGCAAATGCAAAAGAAATTGAATACTTGAGGGGTGGCCTTCTGCCAGTTCCCCCCCACCACCACCACCAGTTTTGAAATCTGCATCTACCAGAGTGGATGCAGGCCTGAGACCACACAGTTTTTGGAAATACCTGTTGTGTCATTAAAGATGAAAGAATCAAGTTCCACTGCAGAAGTTCTTCCAGCCTGTGGCTTTTCTGAAAAGAAGTCAATGTATGTTTCGAAAATGAGCATGCACGCATCTTTTTAAACTAAACATTATCTGCTTAGAAATCCTATCCAAATTGGTCCTAAGTCACAGCTCCTGTAGATTTTCTTCTACTATTAGAAATATTTTAAGTTTTTCATTCTTCAAATGGCAAGCAGCTGTGCCAGTTTTCCTGGATTTTGTCATCTGCCAATTTTTCTTTGGAAAATACACTTCATGCACCATATTCTGCTTCTTGGGGTCTACATTTGGACAGAAACGGGTTCATTTTCACATTCTCAACTGCATGAGAAATAGCAGCAGGATCCTCCCTTCCTCTAGTAAGTGCTTGATGGGTGTCCGTTTTGTGTGTCATGCCCTGCCAAGCACTTATTTTCCCATCCTCACGGAGCTTCTGGTCAAGGTGTTCGGTAAGGCAGGGCGGTTGTAGATGACAGTCTATTGATCCTCACTCAGCAGCCTCTGAAGAGGACCCCAATACCCCTACCCAATAGATGTCTCCCTTCGCTCATGGCAGAGGTCTGAAATGCTGTGGGTGAACTTGGGGAACATCCCGCAGCATTTCTGGGCCTCCATTTCATCACCTGTAAATTTAACATATCTGATATAAATTTGTCTCCAAGATCCCCTTGTAATTGCAGGACTGTAGCTTCATTCTTCCATGTTAAGGGATTATTTCTCTTTACAACACACAGTTGTACTTGAAAAGCTGTGCTCATTCATGTATTCCCTAGTAGAAGTCAGCCTGTGGGATTTCTTTTCATTTCAGAACCTCTGGAGGGGGTGGGGGAACAAGGGATGGGGACCGTGGC